CCACCGGTTCGTGTAGCATCACCGGACAACAAAATAAGGAACTGCTCCCCCCGTACGCGAATCCGCTGTTGATGACTGGCGGATTCTCGGTGAGATTTGATTGTGGTAACCATTGGCGGAGCGGGGGGGTGGCTTACTGGGCTTAAGCCCGGGTTGTTGTTTCAGAAGCCCAGGGTCTTTTGGAGTGTAATTTATTTCATAAATAGATGCCTGACTGACAACTGTATAAAACAAAAACTACACACAATATTCGAAGCACATAGCGCACAGTCGTAAATTCCCCCTAATTTTGGTATGATCCGAGCTCAGGCACTAGGCGACTGAGCACAGCACTTACGCATGTGAGCGAGGGGGGAGAAGCTGCTGCCTGCGAGTTTGCTGTAGGAGAAGTGCAGACAGGCAGACAGAGGAGAGCTTAAGTTTGACCAGGTACCAAAGCAAATCATTCGTACTGTACAAATAATGTAAATATGACGGTGTATCACAAAAGATTGATATCAAACTGATCACTTGACCCATATTACGTTACTTGCTGTTCGAGTGAATCAACAAATGGAGTCTTTGCTTACATGTGTGTTTATTTCATATTTTCAGTTGTTACCCTCCACGGCTAAATAAAGCACTCTAAATCAGTTTCAGTTATGTACTGATGTACACAACAATGGACATAAGGGGCTTCTTTCAAAGAAAAAACTCAGGTAAATGTTATTTTATATATTATGCTTTGTATGTTATTCAATATATTTCTATGCAAAACAAGAGGAATTTCAATACACAGCAGTATATTCACAGTTGAAATCAGATATTTACAACATACACTTTAGGGAAAAAACATAAAAACATTTTTTTTTACTGTTAATCATCAAACTGTTTTGTTTTAGATAAATAAATATTGAAATATCTTTTGAATTAGTTAAATGTCAGAATAAAGAGAGAGAGAGAGAGATGTCTATTTTCTATCACTTTCATCAAATTTAGGAGTATATATACACTACGTTTATTGTGTCTTTAATTAATAAGAAAACTCCAGACGATTCCATTCTGAGCTTAAGAAGCTTCTGATAGGTTAGTAGAGTCACAGCCTAATAAATCTTCAACTTCACAGCATGTTTTTCAGTCATTTCTAACCGCCCCCCCGCCCCAATTCCACATGCATACTACCCTTTGGGGCTAAGCCCCGGGTGTATAAAATGTCTGGCTCCGCCTCTGGTGGTAACGCCGTTCCAGGTTAGATTTAGAGTTTTTTTTGCATATACTGCAGAATGCTTTCTGGTCATTCCCCATGACCGGCTTAAGCCAGTCTTTAAATGACGGGTTATCAAGCCAACTTTTAGAAATCTTACATTTCCCCATTTCACCGCCAAGTGGCTACTAGCTCATTTCAGAGGCTCTCCTAATATCAACACGTTAGATCACCCTGGCACATATATTATACACTCACCTAAAGGATTATTAGGAACACCATACTAATACGGTGTTTGACCCCCTTTCGCCTTCAGAACTGCCTTAATTCTACGT